AGACGGCCAGTGTGGGGTCCCGCCGACCCTCCCCCACCTCACAAGCAAGTGCACAGGACAAGGCTCCCCGGAGCTCCCACACCTGCCCCAGGAGAACGGCCTCAGTCAGAGCCACCCTCCATGTGACAGGGCGTCTTGCGGCATCTGTGCTTTGGCATTTACAGGGGCAGGGCGAGCTCAGAAAGCCTAGGAGAGAACATGAGCCCCAGCCTCTCCTTGCCTGCCCACTTCCCCAGAGTGACACTCAGAAGTGTGGAGATGCAGTAAACAGGGGGCCGAGGCTACGATGGCCCTGGACCTGGTGGGCATGCTGGGGCCCCAGCACAGTAGTAGGGAACTGCCCAGCCTGTGTGTGGACCGATGGATGCCCAGGGAGAGTAAGAAGGGTAAGGGACGTTCTGTGAGAAGCTGCACACGGCAGGGCAGAGCTCGGCATGGGTTGTGCTCCAGCTGGGGTGCGGGCAGGTCCACCCCACACTTCCAAACCCTTCTGATCCCTAAGCAGTCTGACCTCAGCCCCTGTCCCAAGAGACCAGCCTGTGGCCATAAGCGCCCTGGACACAGAAGCAAAAGCAGGACAGCCTCCGCCAGGCCCAAGCAGGCTGCAGGCCCTGGTCAGCCCAAGTGCCCATCTCCTCTTCTGTGGCCGCCAGCAGTCTCCCCCAAAAGCGCCTATCTGCAGTACACACAGGCGGCAGAGAGAAGCCGCGTTGCAGGGCCGGGTGGGAGGCAGCCCCCAAGCCCCTCTCCCATGGAGAAAGTTCTGAACATGCTCAGGTGCAGATGCGCAAGCAGCCTTCAGGACCCAGCCCTGCAGCCCGGCACTGTGGCTTCCAGGCCAGCACTAGCCACGTGCATGCACATGATGGGAAAGGTATGCCCACCACGGGCACAGCACAACTGCCGGCACCAGCCAGGAGTGCAGCTGGCGAGAGAGGGAAACCAGGAGGGGGCTCCAGAGCAAGCGGGAATAGAGACGCCTTCACAGGCCCCACAGCAGACAGTGCACAGAGGGGCAGGAAGGAGCGTCAGGAGCCCATCGTGCAAAGGGGCACGCCTTTCCCACCATCCTGCTTCCAGCCTGCCCTTACCAGGCCTGTAAGTCGGAGGCAGAGCCACGGGCCTCTGGTTTTCTGGAGTGTCTGATGCATTAGGACCCTGACGGGCCCAGTACACACAGAAAGTGGGGTTAAGGATCTGTTGTCCTCAGGCCCAG